ATGGCATCAAGAACCGAGGCAACAGAGATTGTTCCCTCGCGCAGTGTCGGCCAGTGCATCGGATGCATGAGTTCCCGCATGGAAAACTTCTCAAAGCCCTTCCAAAACTGCATGAGTGAGACCGTTTGGGAATCAACATTCTCGGCATCAACTGGCCAGACCTGTCGACATCTCATTAGGACCCAAGCTTGATATGCATGAAACTGAAGCTTCGGTCCAAACATTGTGGCATTGAACTGCAACTGAGAAAGCTTGTCAGCAAGGCATGAGAAAACCCAAATGGCTTGGAGAGGGCTCGCCATCTGTCCCGCAGCAGCCAACGTCAACCTTGGTCGGTCACCGAAATCAATGACTGGATCAAAACCCTGAAGTGCAAGACATTCATTGGGATGTATGTGCCGAACCTCCTGATAACAGGAATCTGATGCTGACCTCACAAGCAGGCCAAACAACCCTTTCTCTTCCAGACGTCGCATAGATAAGCCATTTGACCGGCATCCACACTCGCAGGCAAGCAATTGTGACCCCCAAGAATGCAATGCACATGGGGCTTGACTCTCATGATTCAAAAGGTACTTGACACATGTCCCATCCTCCACACCAAATGCAGGCCGTTCACATGGTTTCAAAAGAAGTTGCTTTTCATCTGAAGGGTCCCATGCAAGAATCCTAGGAATAACCTGCGCAACCTTCGTGACAACCTGAGTCAATGGCCATGTTGGTAAGTCCACTTGTCCAATCCAAGGTGCTGTCAACACCCACCATGCTCGAGACCTACGAGACGGCCATACCTCATGGAGGTGAAACTCAGATTGAGTGCATGAGAAGCCAGTGCAATCAATGAACGTCTGAATCTCCGACTTCACCCATGTGTTGGCAGCAGCCGGTGTTACACATTCAAGGATCACAGCCTGGGCTTGGGTGAAAAAGGCTGTGGCTAAGACACCTCTCAAGCTCATTGCACGAGCATCAAGTTCTCCACGCTGATCCCCCAAACGGGAAAATGGTTGGCAGGCATACCCTGCAGCAATCACCGAACTTCCTCGGGCACAGTTCCAGATCTGCTTCACCGTGTCATCACAACTGATATCACCCATCAAGGTGTCCTGGCAACCCTGCTTTTGATACAGTTTGAGCATCCTTTCATTGAAGTCCACGGCAAGCACAGGCACAAATCCAGCAGCCATGAGACCTTGTGTCATCCCACCGAACCCTGAACAGAGTTCTACCACCTCACACATCCGTGACCATGTCGGTCGATCATGCCTCATCACAGTGGAGCTTTCATCCAGGCTAAGGAGTGGCCTAGGATAATTACGAACCAGCTTGGCATCCATGAAGGTATAGAGTTCACCATTCCCTTCAACCAGTCCATGCACCTGAAACGCCTGTCCACCAGGAACCATGTGACAGAGATGCGCCTCATGAGAAGAATCCCAACATCTCATCTTTCCAACCACATTCATACGTGCCCCCAAGTCAGAACCAGCAAAGGATGTAGGGTAATCCCAAACCATGGCAAATGTGACCCCTGCGCGCCCCCGCTCAGCTAGATCAGCCGCACCCCGGCTGGTAGGTGGATTGGGCCGTCGCGGCTGTTCCAAACCACCAACCAGTAATGGATTGGGAGTATTGGTTTCATGGATTTTATGAGATTTAAGGGGATTCATTATGGATTTCATGATTCAATGGATTGGTTTAGTCGGGAAAATCTTAACCGGAAACCATAGATGTTCCCATTAAATCCGGGGCTTCATGGCTTTCCTGTAAATGTTCCCTTAAACCAATCCATGGAATTTAGAGCTGACTTATGATCATCTGATAGCTAAGTTGGGGAACATAGCTAAGTTGGAACTCCCCCCAAATCCAAAATGAGGATTTCTCCACAAAAAATGGAGATTTAAGAAGAAACAATGTGTTCTATAATCTGATGTTAGCTAAGTTGGTGAATTTAAAACAATATAACTCCAATTTCACTATGGTACATGATACTTATAACTATAGAAGTCATGGGGTGAATCTAAAGCAACCTTGTAACTGGGGGGGCACGCTGTAGTATATAGTGGTACGATATGACAGGAATATCTTTTAATCAGAAATGTTCAGGCATACGGTTGTGTTGTGATAGTGAAATGGTATGATGTGATCTGCCCCGTTACATACGTCGCTGTGATGGGGTGATTGAATCATCACCAAGGGAGGAAAAAATGGGGATATGATGCAGATATAATGAAAGGGATAATTGGGGTATAATTGTATAATATGGTATAATAATGTGAGACAAAACTGATATGATGGGGATCGAATTGGTGATATTTTACTAAAACAGTGACATGATGATATAGTGAATGAAACCACCAACGATATGGCAATACAATAGGATATGTTTGGGAACAAAATGAGGCTTATGGGGCAATAATTGGATATACCACTGATGGAAAATGGCTTTGTCCAAAATGGGGCTTACACCATATCTAAATCCACGAGCTGAACCACTCAGCAAATCTTGCCAACTTCTCTCCTTACCCTGCAGTAAATAAACATAGAGACGGAAAATCCATGAACATCCACTAGTTCTCGATACATAATAGATAATTTGCATGGGAAACTATGGGTAGTAGCCATTGTTTCTGGTGACGTCCCCTTGCAGTGCCATGGTCACGTGCCATGGCATATAGAAGGAATGGTCATCCAAGGAAATCGTGTAATGGGCAAATAGATCCCTACAATGTGGTGCCCCCCAGTGATGTTTGTTGGTTTATAAACCCCATGAATACTATAGTTATATCTACCATAAACCATAGTGAAATTGGAGTTATGTTCACCAACTTAGCTATCGTTTGGGGGCCCCACTTTGTATTAATGCAGTTGACCATCTGCCAATGCCAAGTCTTGACCATGGCACACAAAAAAAGTTTGACTGAAAATAGGTTACCCAAATTTATATATCAAAAACCCATGGTTTTTGTTCATTTTCCGCATTACCCTAAATAACATTTTTAAGGGTACACCATATCTCCAGTAGAATACTTATACCTCTACATACAGATTCATGTTTATATCCCCGATATTTCACCAAATTTGTTGTTTTATCAAAAGTTTACCCCCCAAATTGTCCATTGTTCATTGGTTCGTCGACGATTTTTCACGGTTGTCCAACGCATCCCGTCACATCCCGGGGCCCCACATGGTGGTTTACAAGCCCCATGAATATTAATTATACTTCTAAGTATCATAAACATTCATAAACCATATCGGAGTTATGTTCACCAACTTATATAGCGATTATAGATCATCTATGAATCCCATGAAATCCTATTTTTTCTTGGTTCGATGACCATTTTCCAATGGTTTCGTGGGCCGGGGGCCCCCCTTTTATCGGCCTCGCGCATGCTGAGCTCATCGAAACGCCGAAGCTTCTCGCGGTGGGAAACCAGCTCCTTGAATCGTCGTCGACGTTCCATCGGGAGTGTCACTTGTTGCATTGACATAACCAACAATCACTGGGATATAATACTGTGGATGGAAGAAATCCTGCACCACCTGGGATGGTTGAAAGTCTGTAAATAATGGGATAAACATGGATAAACCACCTATTACCTGGTGCAGGATTTCTTCCATCCATAGTATCATATACTGTATTCATAGATGACCCATGTACAACCCATACAATCCAGAGTAATCCATAGATAATCCTTGTGTATATATATATATTATGTATACAAAATCCACATATAGTCCATATGGCCACACTTGGATTTGCTTAAGGAAACCCAAAATATATCAGAAAGGCATATTTTTGGGGACCTGGTGGCGTTACACTCTCAAATACATACACATATTCACTGTAGATTCGCTGCGTAATGGATTTCCATGGGTTTCCCATTGGAAAAATATATCTTCAGCAAACCCAGCCATGGTAATACAATGATGATACAATGGGAACATGGATGATGATCATGACTATGTTGGTGATGATGATGATGTTGATGAGGGGAAATGGATGATACAACTAGCAATAGCGATATAATCGGCAAATGCTCGACATATCAGACATATCATATACCATGGGAATATCATGGGAGTTAGACTCAATGAAATTTCTGGGATTGATGGAAATATCATGGCAAAATAATGCTGATATCATGAACATGATAATGGGAACATTGGATTGATTTTAAGGAAACATCATGGAACATCATCGGAAAACATGATTTTTGTTGACCCACAGATCTCTGGATTTTCCCTGAAACCAATGAAGGTGCTTACAACACAAGAAAGCCCAACATGTGGGATTGAAGCAACACTGGAATGCAAGCAGTAATTGGCAAACTAAAAGCAACAGCAATTGGAATGTCACCAACGAAACGGGAATCTCATTAACGTATATTAACATCTGAAAATGCGGCTTTAACCAAACAGAATTGGAACTTCAGCTGAACATACATGGATGTGTCTGAAAGCGGGGTATACAGTACAACATGGTGCTTTCGTTTTGTAAGAAAATGATTTTTAACCACTTGATGTGTTTTGTTTCCTGACCAACACATATTGTCTTGGAGCAGCTTAGCAAATGCGTAGTAGCCCTGGTCAACAGCTGGAGGCTGGCCTCTGATTCTTAGGACAAATGACTTGGACAAAAATCAATCCCTCAGTTTTCGCTGCAAAATGTCGAAGAAATCTCAAACACCCAGAACTTTACCTGGATTTGGGTCGAACATGGGGTCATTTTATCTAGTTCATCCATTTTGGGGCGCCAATCATTTTGACACATACCCAACAGATTCCGACCATCTCCAACCATCTTTTTGCATTCCCATGCGCTGTTAACGCAATGCGTCTCTTCAGGACTTTGCCCGATCTGAAGCTGTCTGACGAGGCATAAAATCCAGCTGCCAGCGGTTGATCATCATTTTACCCATTGCTCGACTGTGAGTTTGGGAGGCATTTTCTGTTTTTGGAAAAACAACCTCAAAAGCATCTTTCTGGTTAAGCCACCCGCAGGATGATTGTTTACAAATCAATTCTAGACTAGAGATTTTATACCTCGAGCATTGCATATAAGAAATTCTTCCACAATTCCATTGCTCGACAAGGGGTTGCTTGAGTCACATCACGCCGCCTCTGTTCGTTGTTTGGTCCGCCTGAGACAGGTCGGGGCAGATGACTCCTCTGTGGGACTGTGCCAAGCCCCTTTAAGCGCCGGTTGTGAAAAAGGTCTGGCATTGTTTATCCATTGATAATAATATGTAATCTACGTAATTCCAAAGAACTAATTATACCTCATCAGTACTTGATCATGCCTGGTACTTGATCCAGTACAAAGGGGATGGATATTGGAGGACGTTGGAGGGATTTGACCGACCCAGCCAGAAAAACAACCAGTTTCTCAAATCTTCCTGGATAATCTGGGCACCAAAGAACGAAAACCTATATTTACAAATTATCATAAATTATACTATTATATATTGTTATACACTGTTATATACTATTATAATCTATTATATACTAATATCAAGGATCCAAGAAGTGCTGTTGCCTGTTATTTCGCCGTAACTTCGCCTCGTCACGAGGTTTACATCAGCGGCTTCTCCACCATTCCCCGCGCCACCAGCGTGACAGGAACACAACATTTGAGGGCCATGGCTGACAGTCGTTCTCTGTGGGTGACCTTACCTTAAATAGATCCAGTGTGTGGGTAAAACAATGCCATTTTTACCACCCATTTGGGAATGGTAGCCATACCACCTATAAAAATGGTGATGACTGGGGGATGGTGCAAATGGCATTGTTTTAACCACATTAGTATATAATTCAGTTGTAGTAAACTAACTGTTTCGTCGAATCAATTGCACATGATACCCACCTTTGGTTCTTCACATGCTTCACTTCCTACAAAGTGGGGCCCCCTAGATAGCTAAGTTTGTTAATAACTCCAATAACTATGGTCTATGGTAGAGATAACTATAGTATTCATGGGGTGAATCTAAACCATCAAACATGACTGGTGGGGCACCACATTGTATGTACAAACTGTCGGCATTTCACTTCCCCCATTTCCCCCATCGACTTCGATGGCCTCATGCTCTCATAGAGCCGTTCAAAGAGCTCAGGATTTCGCAAGCGAATCTCGTCCAACCTTGGGAGCGGTTACCCAGAAACCAAATGGTTCGTAAATCCAATATCTATTGAATTCAGAAATATAATTGGATAGTAATAGACATTCAATATATATGGTTTTCCAAATCCATATCTATTGATAGTAAACCATAGTAGTAAAACCATATAGTTAATTACAATTAAAAATCATTTTCAAAAAAGTAAACTTTAGTAAGCCATAGTTCCTGTTTTCATCTGTTTTCCATATGATCCATCTTTATGTTCATTTTTCAGGAGGGCATGACTTGAATTGAATTGCCCGAAATCTCATGACAGTCATAGATGTGACTCAGACCCATACATAATACTTCCTAATGTGGAGATTCTTGCCAGGCTGCCAGGCTTCAAAGGGTGGGGCTCAATTCAAGCTACTCAATTCTACAGCATTGCTATGCTTTGTCGGAGGTTTTTCCGCCGAAAGTCAAAGAGCACTTGGAGGCCTTTGGGGGTTCTGCTGTGCGCATTTATCTATGGCAGTTGCAATGAATATTGTATGTGCCACAGTACTTCAACACCTGATATGGCAGCCCTTGACATTCAACTGTTGATTCCGAAAGACATATTCACCATTCTGGGACAATTATGTTTAAATTCACTAACCTAAAAAGTTCGGCTATCTTGGGGATGATTCCCCACAATTAAGGTACCCAATGGTTATTTAACATAGCCACGGAAAATGGTCCATTTATAGATGATTTACCTATTAAAATGGCGATTTTCCATGGCAAACTGTTAAATAACCAGATGGTACATTGAGATATACGATGGTATATTCATTATATATCATATTTATATATATAATTATACAAATTAATAAACCAGAGGGTACCCAGTCTGGTTCAATGGTACCCGCATGTTTCTTCGCTCAAGCGCTCAAGCGGTTTCTCGGATGTTGGGATTCAAGCGGATCAACTCAGTGAAATCCCCATGGCCCATGTGGGTCCTTTCCGTTGCTTTCAGTTTTGGTTGAACATCGAACGAGGAATCCACAATTCTTGTAAATACATATGTAAATAAATAAATAAATATATATATATATATCATATATATATACATATCATATATATATACATATATACATATATATGTATATATATAAATATGTATATATATATATATCACATACATAGATATGTATTTTTTTATATATATCATTTTGCTTAGATTTCAAAAATGTGCTGGTTGATATAGCAGTTCTATCATCACCAACAGTAGAACCACCACCCCCATCGCCATCCGACAAAACGACAGCAGCTTGGGTCCATCTGGTGCTGGCAAGGCGGGAAGCAAAGCTAAGAGCTCCTGGTGGTTGCCCGCCGCCCTGAAAACTATGCTTGTCAGTGGGGATAATATCATATATATATATAGTTATATATAGTTATATATAGTTATATATAGTTATATATAGTTATATATAGTTATATATAGTTATATATAGTTAAACATATTGATATATAGTTATATATAGTTATATATAGTTATATATAGTTATATATAGTTATATATAGCTATATATAGTTATATATATATAGTTATATATAGTTATATATATATATATATATGTAAATCTGGTTTGTGGTTTCAACCCCTCTGAAAAATATGAAAGTCAATTGGGATTATCATTTCAAATATATGGAAAGTCATGAAATTCATGTTCCAAAGCGCCAACCAGTAATATGTGGGCCCACCAGTGATGTTTGCTGGTTTCTAAATCCCATCCACTACAGTTCTGAGCATCATAAATGATGTTATTGGACTGATGTCCAACAACTTAGCTATCGTTTTGGGGCACCATTGTGTAATGTGTATATATATATATGTATATATCTACATATCAAAAATAATAAATATAAAAATATGGGCCACGGTCAATATTTGGTATATAGCTCCAAGTGATCAATTTTTGAAGAGCGTATTATCGTTTTTCAGGCTTTGGTATATAAGCAAATGTTATCGTTTTTTGAAGAGTGCATTATCGTTTTCCAAGCCCCAGCTCAATTTCCAAAAAATAACGATGTTTCGAATACTACTCTCCATTGCCCTAAATTTTTGATACATTATAATACATACATCCCAAATGTCATTTATGTGGTTGAACAGTGTTGAAGAAAAAACACCAAGCAGTACATCATCCCAGTCAAATAGGTATACCCAAATTCATAAACCCCCGAGGGGCATGGTGTCTGGCAGTAGGTTCATGCCATGATATCATCTGTCGGGTGGCTCAATACCCTACCCAAAATTATCAAAACGTGGGATGCAGATATCGGTTTATCGTGTCCTATGGATTACCAAGCCCTAGTTAATTACTAATTAGCATGGTACCCTCCAACCAAACAACCCCGGAAAGGTGATGTATCGAGGTTTGACATTGTAAAATACTCCCATGTGGTTCATACTTCACTTTCCACCGTCTCCTGAACCGTATTCTTGTCCACTGGTTGCGAAAGACCTGCGATGGGCAACTTTAGGGCAAGTGAACTAGATTAACTAGATACATAATTATACCAGACTAAGACAGCATTGTGTATATTCAATAATTTTGTATGGTTTTTACTTCCAAAACCGTTCCAACACTGTACTGCTCTGACCGGACCCGCGTATCAATCGGTGGGCCCCTGGAGGATTGTAGCTACAAAGTGGAGCCCCCGGAAACGAAATGGCTAAGTCGGGGAACGTATCTCCGATTTCACTATGTGACTATGGCATATAAATGTTTATGATACTCTATACCAGTGAACAGACACATTATTTCACTATAGAATTAATTAACTGTTAGTGTTTATGGGGTGCCGGACATGGTAGCAACACGTCGCAATGACGCGACTGCCGACCACAATGTCGACAAACTCCAACACCAGTGGACAGTGGACATCAAGGTGGTGGTTTCAACCCCTGAAATTAGATAAGAGTCAGATTCGTCAGGTGAGATTTGTTTTTTTCTATTCGTCCCCCAAATACACAAATGTTCAAACATGTTGAACATATTTACATGTTGAAACTGGTTGGTGGTTTCAACCTCTCTGAAAAATATGAGTCAGTTGGGATGATTATTCCCAATATATTATATGGAAAGTCAAAAAAATGTTCCAAACCACCAATCACATGCGCGCCTGAGAAGCCACGAATCTTCTCTAAGGCCCAGAGGGGCAAGGAAGGTGATGCCTCACACGTGTGACACCAAGGACCCATAGAGGGTCAGACGTATATTATGTGTATATCAGAATGATAGCTCATATTGATGATGTTTAACGATATAACGTTATAATATATATATATATATATCTTACTGCATCATTTCCAAATGACAACTTCATTAAACGCTAACTATCATTATCAGAGGAAGGATAGAAAGCAACACATATTCTGCAAGCATCTGGAACCATCTGGAAGCATCTGGAACCATCTGGAACCACCAAGCAAAATGGATGTGGCTCAAGAGAATACATACCAATGAACCCACAACATTGGCAACTTCAAGAAATGTTAAAAGGGGGGGCAGCTATTTTGAGCCATAGCAACATTTGTCAAACGTGTGGGGCCCCAGTGATATTTGTTGGTTTATCGAAGCCCATGAATACCAATAATTAAGTATCACCAACCATGTAAAGCAGTCAGAACAGGCTCCAACTTTCCCAACCTGGTGGCACATTCCACTTAGTACATAGCTTCTACCCCCAATTATAGATGGAATGTCCCCAATTATATATATATATATGTATCGATTATGAAATTATGAACCACTTACTAAATGGGATGCGCATCCAAGAACCCATTCCAGTGACCTGCACGCCCACGTCCGCCGCGTCTGCGTCATCCCCCACTGCAGCGTCGCGGTGTGTCGCGACGCCGCCCACCGCCAGGTCTGATTCGACCTTGGCGAACGTTGACAGCTGTGGTTCTCATTAGGGTTTATGGTAGATATGTCTATAGTTAATGGGGTGCTTTTCAACCCACTCATAACTGGAGGCCACGGTGATAGACTGTGACATGTTCCAACATATTTACATGTTGGTGTGTTTTTTTACCATCTGGTTATTCAACATAGCCATGGAAAATCACCATTTTTTATAGGTAAACCATTTATAGATGGGCCATCTATACCATGGCTATAACCAAAGGGATTTCTTCTATCTGATAAATGGTCGACCCTCTGGGCCAAGCCGCCGGGTACGGGGTCAACAAGTCATCCCAACCACCTGGAGCTGGAAGCCCCAGAAATGGTGTGCACACTGGGGGGCATAGGCCTACGAAATCGCGATTGGTTGAAGCGCTATGATGCTTGTAACATCTTGTAACTATAGTATTCGTGGGGTTTATAAACCAACAAACATCACGGGAGTGTGTAGTAGCAACATAATCTAGACAAAACTCCCAAAAGTAATGGGTGGGTGATCCCCTTGTTACTGTTACTATGGTATGGCCAAACGTCACAACACTGGATCTCCGCAAACCGTTCTGGATCTCCCGCTCATATGTTTCACCGTTGGATCCCCAGCTTTACCCAAAGTATCAAACCCGTGTAGCCTGACTTGATCTTGTCCATTCTGGTTACCCCATGTTTGTTAAATGGTTGTCTATGTCACCCACATCAAGCTTGCTTACATCACCAATTGTTTGTCTGAAAAAAATGGGTATGTCATTTGTCTGTGGCTTACCGCAATTTGCCCCGCAAAATAGCTTGATGGTTTGTTGAGTTCAACTTTTAGTGCTTCATGTGGTACATCCATCATCATCTATCTAAGTCCAAAAACACTAAAAGCAGAACAAGTGTATGGCTGGGAAAATCACTTTCACTTTCACTGGCGGCTCTCTGAAGTGGCTGGGAAAATCACCGAACTAAATGATGCATTTTCGAGCGAGCCATGGAATTCTCCATGACAACCCTATATATCATCTACTATATCCCAGTAACCTCCATTTATTCCATTAATATCCCATTAAATCACAATAAAATCCCGTCAAGTCCTATTCATGTGCTCTATATGTAAACCCACAGGTATCCAGATGATATAACATAATATATATATATAAACATATAAAACCCAAGAATATGAAGATGGGGCGTCCCATGGTGTGTCACAGCCCAAACATCGGCCACAGCTGAGCCCTGCCTTCCTCAAATTCGGCATCGGAGCCCTGCTGACTTTCCAAGGGCGCCATTGCGGCGCGCGGCGAATCGTCACCGGGCCGATGGTGAAATCCCTAAGTTTTTTAGTATGGTTTCTAAAACTTTAAACATCTTATGACTGAATATAACTATACATATATATATATATATATATTAGCCATAGGGTTTATAAACCAACATCATTGGAAATTAGTATTTACGGGATTTATAAACCAACAAACATCACTGGGGGGCTACACTGTAGGGCTATGTTGAGTGGCAATTTTCGGGGAACATTCTGGGAACAACTTCAATGACTGTTCTTTTTGTGTATAGAGTTGAGTTGGGTGATATTTTGAGTTGGTGATGTGTCAGAGAAATGCTGGAGGCTCAAAAAACAAACTAGCACTGACCCAAGGAAACTTACCAAGAGAAAATATTCGAATAGTGCGATTTGGGTTGATGCCCAATTGCTGCTGACTTCACTCATCGAAAGGAAACCGCAGATGCACTGAGACCTTGAAACCCATGTGCAGTTGACTACACTCTGACACTCGAAGTCATGCGATCTTGGGGGGGCATTTATCCTGGGAAACTCACGGAAAGTAATGATCGTATTATCACTTTTTGCAGTATTTCACAAAAGCAGGGTGTGTCGAACTCTTAAAAGTTCTTAAAGTTAACCTACAAGACGAGAGGCTCGACCCAGAATCGTGAGGTTCTGCCTTGCTCGACAAACAAATCCAAAAAAACAGCAGTGACTTTGCCCAAAAATAACAATTAATCTATACTTTTGTTTTTTGCACTATTATATATATATATATATATTATTATATGTGCTAAGTCAAGGTAGGCCCTGGAGGGGCCGCATACCATGTATATATATGTATATCCCACATCCTTCATGTATATTGTATATCCACGTATGTGGATCATGTTTAAAGGGTAAATGATGATAGCTGTTCCATAACATTCCATACATAGGGCACATAGGGCATTTGGGTATATAAAGACCATCATAAACCATAAGTATCATAGATAAGTATATTAAATATTCCAAAAAAAACTTCCATACAGTAGTTTTTTTAGCATCATAGTTGCCATATTTTCTTCGAGTTCCCCAAACCACTGGCGACGATTCGCGACTGTAAAGGCTGTCCTTCAAGTAACTGGACCGCGAACGGCTCAGATCCTGTAGCACCTGTGGAGGGCGATCAGATTGATTAGATACTAACAACATCAATCCCAATATGAAATAGATTGAAATAGTTTACAATAAATAGGAATACCACTATTGGATAGTATTGGATAGTATGGGTATGTATTAGTCATATTAATATACTATTCAGATGTGTGTGTGTGTTTCCCTGTGAGATTCTGCCACTGATTATTTGACGCTCAACTGTAGATTGATTTCTCAGGCAGATGCTATGCTTCAAGGGCGCAATGTAGCTGGATGTGGCTGGTTGGGCCAAGATAACTCCCCTCATTTGTAGCAACAATGAGCTGTAATGTGGTAAACCCAATGTCTTAAACCATCCCCAAAAACAATCGTGGAACAGTTATAAACTCACCAACTTAACTATCATAAATCAACTCTAAATACCTATAAATCCCGTGAAATCTCCATTTTTTGATCACTTGGATCAGCATGTTCCCTATGGTTTCGCTCTGTTTCGCGATCACCGGGCCCCCATGTTTTCCGCCTTTGCCAACTTCACATGTAGCTCTTCCAGTTGCATCTTCATCCGTGCCTGGAAAAGAAGAAGATATGGGAAACATATGCAAAATATCTTGAAATATAAAGGATATCCACATAATATGTCAATCCTTTTTTATGTTACATTATATATATCCACATGTTACATATATGTTGAAATAATATAATGATATGTTATGTTGCATATAATAATAAGATATGCAACCACATGTCGGAAAACCCAATAATAATCCACTGAGTAGTGGTTCATTATTGGGTTGTATACCCAACAAGAATGGATATGAAGAAGGGATCATCACGGAGATTCAAGCATTTATCAAATCATTTATCACTCATTTCCTGGGGGGTCCAAACATGAGTTTCCCATGTCTATGTTGGTTTATCTCAGGTTAGACTTGGATATGGGGGTATCTGAACATATATTACCATCAAATCCCAATATTTTTTCAAGTTTCTTCTTCATCCATTTCCCGATCAAAATTGCCGTTTTGATGAATATTCCCAATATGTTCCTAATATTTTTGTTTTTCCCCAATGTTATTACCAATATTTTGGTCAAACTCAACATGCAAACCACCAACCATCGCGACTAATTCTCCAACCTTGGGCATGTGGCTGGTGTCTAGCTCCCAAGCCTCAGCGGACTGCTGGAATGACCCCAAAATAAACACTTACTGGACTGTTGTCTTGAGCAGGTAGCCTCTGGTTATTTAACGTAGCTATGGGAAATCCCATGTTTTGATAGGTAAATCATCATAGATCATCTATTTCTATGGCCCATTTTCCATAGCTATGTCAAATAACCAGAGGGTATATCAATTTCGCAATCCCTATTTAGTCATCCCATATGTACTCATGGTCATCCTCTAAGTAGTCAACCCTTCCTGATCCCGAAAAACTGGATTACGGTAACCACTGGGAGAATGCCATAAGACCGACTCGGCAAAACCAGGTCACCTCTCATTCACCGGCCGGCCACGCAAGCCATCGAAACTCGAAAAATATGAGTTCGTCAATGGGAAGGATTATCCCATATATTATCGAAAATAATCCAAACGTTCCAAACAACCAACCAGATAAGTTGCGGTTACATCTCCTATGTTCAGACGCACAAATACACCATAATACACCCTATATCAAGTTGCTGGAGGAATATCACACTCATGTCCCCATGATATTCCCCATTATCGCCAATTCTATTACTATCCCGGGTCCATGATTTCTATCCCCAATACCTCCATACAATATGTAATCGTCATTAGATCCCCATATATCCACAATATGCTTTGTAAATCATTGATTATATACCCATTATATCCCCATTATGTTTGAGTGTATATATATAAATATATACATATATTTATATATTCCAACATTAATCATTGTATATATGTATATATTCTATATATATATATATGTATATATATATATGTATATATATATATGTATATATATTCCTTTTCTCCTTGGACCCCAGCCGAACAATAAGAACATTTTTTGATGACCGCAGCCACAAGGACAGCCAGGTGGCAATACTCAAGCTGCTCCACACCAGGCCAGCCAAGACTGCGAGAACCTGGGTAAAAAATCCCCAACAAAAAACCATTGGAAAAGAGTAATAATAATAATAATATATATATATATATATTGTTGTGATTATTAGTATTTGGATTATAATGATTTATAGATTGTGATATCCAAAATGGATTATGATATCATTTTGGCTGATTAAATGAGCAGTGTTCAGAATCCCTCTATCATTCCATTGAATCCTGGCTGGTTTATCGTGATTCCTCGTTCTTGGCGTATTATGATTGTGATCCCCTATATTGGGTTGTATAATCACCTATAATCATCAACCAACAGGGGTTTCCATAAATGGGGGATCCCAAAATGGTTGGTTTATAGTGGAAAATCCTTTTCAAATGGATGATTAGGGGGACACCCCATTTCAGGAAACCCCCACTAGGAATGTGGGGTTCATGGGACTTTTTTTTGCTCATTTATATTGGCTAAATTGACGAACATGACTTGATACTTGGTTAACTAGGGCTGATAGGGGATGTAACCATATGTGTATATATACATATATGTATACATATATATATAGTGAATGGGGGTTATAAAACAACAACCATAACTGGGGGGCCTCACCTTATAAATGTGCTACAGTGGTTCTCCCATCCTCGTACCTTTCCATGGGTCATTGAAAAAAAAACTGTCACGGTCGCAACGGATCTTCAGCCTGTTTCACGGGGATTCCCGGGTTTACCCTCTGGTTATGACTAACATAGCCATGGAAAATTGCCCATTTATAGATGCTTTACCTATTAACAATGGTGATTTTCAATGGCTATGTTAGTCATAACCAGATGGTAATTCAGCCTTTTCGAATTTTGGTCTGTTCTTCAACTGTCTTTCAAGTGAAAAACACACATCATGCGTCACCTGGGGTCCATCCGATGGAAATTTACCCAGCTGAAAACTCCGTGTCTAACGTCCTTTTGATCACCGTTTTTTTTTAGTACCAGCGGAGAAAGTTCATAGCTGCCAAGGTATGTTCAATTTTTTCAATCAAGTGCCCGTGGATAAAACTCATAGGTACTAAGGTAAGTTCATTTTCAATTCTTGAACCATGTGTACCCGGAAGCCAAATTGATACATTGGCAAAACTCATCCAACCAAATTGCGCTGGATTCTTTTCAGCGTTGACCCCTGGAATCTAATCCAGAAAGGGATTCAATATTAATACACCCCATGAAGTGACGGTTTGAAAAATTGAAAGAACCTATCCCCTAAGCTCCATTTATGGAATATTTTTACAAGACAGGCATACTTAGATAGCTACACTGGTCTTGGATATTTTTGGTGTCTTTACTCACTAGGATGGCACACAGTAATGGAGGGGCTCCCTAGAATGCCATCATAGCGTCGACACATTTGGGGAATTTGTCCGTCTATGGCGTAAATTTGCGTCGTTTTGCGCCATCTTACTGGGGCTCTCTAGGTCCGGGAAATCACCCATACATGGCGCATATGGGTATGACAGTTTATACATAAGTCTGACTACAGTATATACATGTATCAACACACTGACTCAGTCTATGAACATCTGGCGTAAATTCGCACATCCCCAGACCTAACTTGAACATATTCCACCATCCTGGGGGTTGATGATTTTGAACCCTTGCCTCATTTTGAGGCTTGGTGATTTGCAAGCTGCTGAATTGAAGATTCAACCGCATGAAAAAAGAACTCTGAGATGTTCCATATGATTGCCATGACATGAGGCCAGCATGAAACGCTGGTTGGTGGTCGACCTACCCCTCTAAAAAATATTAGTCAGTTGGGATGATTATTCCCAATATATGG